TGTGCTTCCAATCAATGGAAATTTTACCATTTTTGCTGACGATACTAACATACCGTGGAGTTGTAGTGACGTTGCTTCTCCTTGAGCTACCATTTCAGGGAACTTGGAATTGGTGAAGAAGTGGTGTGATGCTAGTTTCTTGACGTTTAACCATGGTAAAACTAACCTGGTTTCTTTTACATGTCATATAGATGATCTTGGGATTGGAGATGGTTTAATAGCAAGGCGGGAGCATAGCAAATTTTCGGGTTTAACAATCGATTCCAATTTAAAGTTCCATGAACATGTTTGTTCTCTCAGTAAGAAAATAGCTTCTGGCTGCTATGCTGTGAAGACGACACTCCGGGAGCTGGGGTTTAACTTCGGAAAATCACTTCACCATGCACTGATTGAGTCACACCTTTGGTATGGTATTGCTTTTTGGGGCTCAACAACTGATCAACTAATTGGTATGTTGTTTATCTTACAGAAAAGAAAGTTGAGATATCTTTGTAATGCTAACTATAGAGAATCATGCAAACCTCTGTTTGAATCGAAGGAAATCTCAACCATCACTTGTTTGTATATTTTAGAAACAACAAGTCTCATTTATACTCATCGCAATGACTTTGTTCAGCCTTTTACTAGCTATAGCTATAGTAGATGATCTATCCAGCAAATTAACATATACAGCCTCCTATTCCGAAATCTTCGCTCATTCGTAAATTGATATACTACAATGGTATAAAGTTGTTCAACCATCTACCACAAGCAATTAAAATCTCACCAACAATGAGATTATTTAGAACAGGACTACAGGACCGACTATCTGATAGAGCCTATTATAATTTGAACGAGTATTGTCGAGACAGATTTTAGGCCCTAATGTTTTTAACTTTGTATGTGTTAAATAACTGTGATGGAATAGGTTTCTTTTTTTATTAAATTTTATTATTTTGTCCTCCATATATGTATTTAAACCTGAGTTTTAAACTTTATGTAACTGTACTGTCTTTTTATTTAATAGGTAACTTATTCATCATGGAGTATATAGTTTTATGCAAAAAAAAAAAACTCAATAAATTATATATTTTTTATTATATTTGTACAGAGTGTGGCCCGTTTATTTTGCCCTATCTCGGTATATGGAAATCTAGATATTCTATGACAAAAAGTTGTAGGGTTTAATCATTAATTTGCTTTTTTGTATTTGCGCATATACGGGAAGTGTCAAAAAAGTGTGACACATCAGATTTAATTTTTTTTATTGGAACATCCTGTATATTTTTATATTTTTTGATAGCCAAGTAGAACCAATGGTAAAAATTCGACTCATTTATTTGTTATATCTGTATAGCATTTCAAAGAAGTTTTCAACGAACGATGGAATCTTTCCACAAGACCTTTACCGATAGGATGATAGGCGCAAGTACGAATCCTCTTGATACCTAAAAACTGAGTTAGTTCTTTGAATAAAACTGATTCAAATTGTCTACCTTGATCCGTGGTTATAACGGAAGGAATGCCAAATCTCGATATCCAACCTGAAATTAATGTTGAAGCTACTGTTACAGCAGTAATATTAAAAATAGGGAATGCTTCAGGCCATCTAGAAAACCTATCGATACAAGTTAAAATATATCTGAAACCTCGACATGTCGATAAAGGACCTATTATATCTACATGAATATGAGAGAACCTAGAGTCAGGTAATTTAAAATGTTGAAAAGGTGCAGAAATATGCTTTGTTACTTTTACACTTTGGCAACTCATGCATGATTTAACCCAGCACTGGATATCTTTTTTCATGTAAGGCCACACAAAACGTTCACAAATCTGTCTCTGTGATGCTCTTATGAATGTGATAGGGAATGAAAACTATTAAATATTGACTTTCTAAATTTCTTGGGAATAAAAAGTCTAGATCTAGAATATTGCATTTCAGTTTTGGAGAGTTTCCGTGAGAAAAATGAAAGTGGCTGCCAAGAATTATCAATATATTGTTGCAAGACAGCACCTACTGCATTGTCTGATGCATCAACTGTAATATTAGTTTGAGCATCATGTTTGGGATAAGTAAGTAACATTTTGTTGGATAATACGTTTTTTATTTTCTCAAAAGCTTCAGAGGTTTCATCGTTCCAAATAATTTCATGATTATCAGCGGATTTCTTTTTCCAACAGAGTATATTACTCAAAGGAGGCAATTTTTTGCGCACTTTGGTATAAATCTGTGATGATATGTGATCAAACCCAGTGGCGGCTGGTGAGAGGAAAAGTTGGCGGTGGGGGAAGCCCCAGAGGCGCGCAAATTTTTTTGGACTGACCCAAACTAACCCAAATTTTGATCTAAAAGTTGTAAAAAAACACGCCTCAGAAAGTTTTTTCACTTATTCTCAATTCAAACGTGGGCATTTACCATTTCTACAAAATAATAAATAAAGCACGGGCGGAGTACGAGAAATTTATTAAAACAGTTTTACATAAAATAAAACATAAGGCACCATACAAATCAAATAGGAATCAAATTTATAAAAAATATCTACTGCACTGTCTTTCCAGATGAAACTGATTTCTTTGCGGCAGGCGCTTCAAAGAAATATGCCGCCCTATGGCACCAGGGACGCCGCTAAAAAATCTAACCAATAAGATATTCCTGGAGTCAACGTTGACTGTCTATCGATAGTCAAATCAAATGAGACATTAAAAAAAATTAAATTCCTTCCAGTAAATTGATCCAGATTTATCCAGACCTTATCCAGACTTGTACAGACTAATCCGGATTCTGGAAAATGATCCCCAGGTCTTTTGGGACCTTTTCCAGAATTTTTCCGACCCTCTCAAGAAATTTCCAGACCTTTTCCAGGCGTTTCCAGAGATTTCCAGACTATATCCAGACTTATCCAGAGCTTTCCAGAGTTTTCCAGACTTCATCCAGATTAATCCAGACTTTATCCAGACTTGTTCAGACTGATCCGGATTCTGGAAAATGATCCCCAGGTCTTTTGGGACCTTTTTCAGAATTTTTCCAACCCTTTCCAGATATTTACAAGTCTTTTCCAGACGTTTCCAGAGATTTCCAGAGTTTTCCAGACAATATCCAGACTTATCCAGAGTTTTCCAGAGTTTTACAGACTGATCCGGATTCTGGAAAATGATCCCCAGGTCTTTTGGGACCTTTTCCAGAATTTTTCCGACCCCACTCAAGAAATTTCCAGACCTTTTCCAGACGTTTCCAGAGATTTCCAGACATTATCCAGACTTATCCAGAGCTTTCCAGAGTTTTCCAGACTTCATCCAGATTAATCCAGACCTTATCCAGACTTGTACAGACTGATCCGGATTCTGGAAAATGATCCCCAGGTCTTTTGGGACCTTTGGCAGAATTTTTTCGACCCTTTCCAGAAATTTCCAGGCTCTTTCCAGACGTTTCCAGAAATTTCCAGACTTTTCCAGACTTCATCCAGATTTATCCAGATATTTTCCAAACTTGTTCCAGCTCACTTGGCTTGTTCCAGGTTCTTGTTGTGTGTTGTGTGTTAATATAAGCGTGGTAAAAAAGTGTCGCTTTTTCGTTTCATCGAGTCTCAAATCACTCCCAACGATTCTAAAGAAGTTTTCACTTCAAAAATATCTACTGCACTGTCTTTCCAGACCAAACTGACTTCTGTGCAGTGCGGCAAGCGCTTCAAAGAAATATGCCGACAAAGATGTCGCGACGCCGCTAAGAAATACGAACAATGTCCGCGAACCATAGTCTAGCGAGTTAAGTTTAGTCAGTCGCTTGAATTATTGTCTAGGAAATTTAGGAATAATAACGACAGAAATTTTTCCGTCGGGATCAAATTATAAAATGATAAGTAATTTGATCTGACGATTGTAATAACTATTGAACTAAAAAAAAAAAAAAAATATTTTAAAAGGACCGACATATTTTGCGCCAGTGCCACGGCCCCTTGGCCCCTTAGGGTCAGCCGCCACTGATCAAACCTAAAAACTCTCGGAGTTTACGAATGTGAAAAAAATGAAAAAAAAAAAAAAACAATACCGTATTTTTCAAAACGCTGAAAAAGTTGTTTTAAATAAATCTGATGTTCTTTTTCTGATGAGCTAGCAACAAGAACATCGTCAAGATAAGCTTAACAAAAGTTTAAACCGGAAAGTAAATCGTTGATACATCTTTGAAAAGTTTAAGCGGCATTTCTTAAACCAAAATTCATGCGAGTGTACTCAAATAAACTAAATGGAGTGATTACTGCAGTTTTTGGAATATCTTTGGGTTCTGCAGGAATTTGATGGTATGCTCTAACTAGATCTATTTTCGAAAATATATGCGCGTTTTCAAAATGAGCAGTGAAGTCCTGCAGATGAGCAATAGGATATCTGTCAGATATTTTCATTCTATATAAAGCTCTATAATCACCCACAGGCCTCCAATCGCCCCCTTTTTTAGGAACTACATGAAGTGATGAAGCTCAGCTACTTGAAGAGGGGCGAATTATTCCTAGCTCAAGCATATGATCAAACTCTTTCTTAACAATTTTTAATTTATCAGGTGCTTATTTACGTGCTTTAGAATAAACAGGAGGACCTGTGGTTGCAATGAAATGAGTAACACTATGTTTCACTGACATATAATTCATATTATGCATTTTTAAAAAAGGAAATAGATTAAGAATATTTCCAGATTTTGAATTATTATTACTGTTAGTGGAAACATTTGTTATTCCACAGAACAAAATATTTGATACTGCACCTGAATTGCGTATGCCACCTCTTTCATTCACCAAATAATTCCCTGAAACATCAACTAAAATTTTAAATTTTTGCAAAAAATCTATGCCTACTATTGAGTACTTCACGTCAGCTACGATAAAAACCCAGTTAAATGGACATTCGAAACCTAAATTCCAAGTCATCGATCTAAAACCATAAGTATTTATATTATGATTATTTGCGGATTTTAATAAAAATTTAGGATTTTGTATATTAATTAAATATTTTAAGGGTACTACACTTACTTGACTGTATCGATCAAGTATTTGATGCCTGAGTATTCATCCCGAATAAATATTAAACGACCTGTTTTTAAATTACCAGCAGAAGCAGCCGCAACTAAGTGCAGGTTCTTAAGTTTTCCGACGATGAGCAAGGTGAATTGCATCTTTGCAGCTTTTTTTCCAAAACGCGATGAAGGCGGTGTTGGTGATCTGCTACTTTGAAATTTTGGAATCGATGTACGTCTAGTTTGATAAGTTCTTGAAAAAATGTTTAATGATTTTAGAATTTCTTTAATGTCTTTTGACAATGCAAGGTTATTTTTTTGGCATTGACAGGGATGTTGAAAGAAGGTATCCATTTCATTTTTTTGCTGGTGCGTAGAAGCAACCTGAATATCTAAATTTACTTCCATAACCCTATCTGCAATTTCAGCTTGTAATTCTAAATTGGAAGAATCATCCATTGCGGCAAGGACAGTTTTGACATTGGAGGGTAATTTCTGAAGAAATAATTCTTTTATAACTGATTTATCTGTTGTTGCTTTTTCGCCTAGAAGTTGTTGTATTTTTCTGAGTAAATGGGACGGCTTTTCTTCACCTAGTTCTTCAATACGTAGAAGTTTTTGAATTCTGGATTGATCAGATAAAGTCGTTCGTTTAATAATCACTTTCTTCAATGTACCGGATGTATTTTGTTCAGGAGGATTCAGCAAAATATCACGTACTTCAGTTGCAAGTTCCGGCGAGATCGAAAACGCTAAGATATTGTATTTGCTTTTATCCGAGGTTAATTTTCTTGTAGCGAATATTGCTTCAATGTATGTGAACCAAACGGCCAAAATTCGGGCAGCTTGAAATTAATATTTGCAGAAGTACTATTAGAACAATTTTCTGATTTCAGCCGTCGGGGTCACCAATTAGAGGTAAATTACAATTTTTAAGTTGAGGAAATGAAATTCGGTTGATAACTTTTTAACAATTTACTGAATCACTTTTCTAATTCTGCGCCTGCTTGACTTTTTTTCACAACTTGTTTTTGCTATATAGAGTACGAAAATAATCGTCAGCCACCCAGGCGGGAATGGAAAATGCGTCAGCTGATAATGAAAATGCGTGTTTTTTTTTGAAAATTATTTGAGTCAGGCTAATATTTTGATAGCTTACTGTATTCTCGTGAACATGTATGAAAACAAAAGTCAGCCAGCTTGTTGAGGGGTGAGGCTGGAAATGCCACCAGCAACTACGAAGGGGTTGTGATAAATCGAGAGGTTGAAGAAAAAGTTGTGGCGTTCCACGAATTTCTTCTCGTCTATAAACTACGAAAATAGCGGAGTAGGTAAAAACAACTTCAGGTGAGGATATTATATTTCTAGAACTCACAAAATACGAGGCATAGGAATACCTGATGGGGAAATTTAACCATTTTAAATAAATGCCGAGAACAACGAAAAATATCAAAAGTTTGGAGTAACGAGATAACTTTTACTATAATAAAACAGGTAATAGATCAAGTTTGAAAAGTTATACATCAATAAGCCTTTTATGTCAGGCGCATAAATTCATCATGACATGAATAAAAAATAAATTCGAACAATATCATAAGTCCGAGCAGGCCGGTTTCAAAAAAACAATTCGGTATCAACTCTATATTCACTTTCTTCAATGAGAAAACTACTAATATAACAAAGACCTATATCTGGGATTCCTTGATTATAAGGGCATTTGTTTCATTAGAACTGTAGGCAATCTTGAACTTAAGATTTAACTGAAGGTAGACTCAAAATACACAGAAATCGTAGTAAAAGAAGCATTGAGTGCCATACAATTAGAGACAGATATTGATATGATTAATTCCTTTAAAAGGAAAATATCCTAATGACTCGAAAACCTATCGGCATCTGAATTAAGTGTTCTCCAGATTTATTTTTGAGGTGCAAATATCGCAATTACGTAATGTAAAAAAATATTAATCTAAATTGCCCAATACGTAGTCTAACGTTAACTGGAAAGGCACCTAGTTCTATTTCCCTAAGAGTCCACCCAGCAGTTTAATATGAATATCTTCATATCTAGTCAAAAAGCTTTTAGATATTAACTAAAAAAGTTTCTAAATGACTCAGATCAATATCCGATAAGTGATTATTGTAATTATTAAAAGTAAAAACTGACATAATATTTTCTGTATTAAGCCATTCCCTTTAATGCATTCTACATTTTTGCCATAATGAAAAGTAAAAAATATAATAATTTTAAAATTTTTATTACCAGTGAATTTTAAATTTCCAATAAATACTAATTCCTACAGAAATTTAATCCTTATGTTTGCTCGAAAGTGTCTATGTGTCTAATAGTATTCTAAATTATAATTTTATGCCTAAACAAAATGGGCTTGTCGACAATAAATCGAAAACGAGTTATTGCTTGACAAGTGATTTTACGACGGTTTAGATTTTTGACACGTCATACTTCGGATACACTTTGACCTACGGCCTACAGTATTGATTATTGATAGTTACCTATCTCATGTTAAAGCCATTTTTATTTTCTGCAACATACTCCAGAGATAAGTGTTACAAGTCGATTTTGTTCGCACTCAACCGCAATTCATGAACTTCAGCTGACGGCATACAAACTTGCACTATTTTTTGAATTTTCTTGGGAAATATTAATTAGATCCAAAAAAGATTAATAGCGTGTTCTACATATTTCGGATTCAAGTCTCCACCTTCTTTAATCTTGCCAATCTCTTGGTCTTGAATTCCTTTTGGACATGGCTTCCTGGATGCCGCGGATCTAGGTTATTATTGAACTTTTCCTTTCGTTGAGAAAGCATTATGGAATTAGTCTTAAAATAAGCTACGTCTCCATACCAGACAAGTTGTTTTGGTTCGATGCCCGGTGCCAGGACTTCATGCTCCAATCTCTTGGTAATTTGCCAAGCCCAGCATTCGCAATGCGCAATTCTTTCGAGGATCAACACGATCCGTAACACGATTCCCAAATTCAGAGAGTACCTACTATTTATAAAATATTCAGGAATACACCTTAACCAAGGTTGGGAAATTTGAAATCATGAACTCCTTTCCATAATAAGGGAACTGTGCAGTATGAAGTTTATTCTGTAACGACAACGGCACATTCTAAAGTATTAAGTTTTCCTGATGTTGATGTAAGCGGTGTTGAAGCCTGGACTTTGGCAGCTGCTGGTACCTTCGAATTAAAGTGATGAAGACTGTTAGAGAATTGGGAAGATCTCAAAGTTTTATCATATTTTTCTTTTTGTATATTGTTTCGCTCACAAAAGACAAACTATATACTACCAAAGCGGTACGATGAGGGGAAGAAATTAAGCCGTTTGAACACGTCAAGATTAAATTATTCAGGAAATGAAGTAGGAGGCAGGAAGTTCCAGAGGTGCGCGGTACGCCACCAAAAAGAAGCTCTATATTTAGAGGTCCTTGGGGTAGCCCACCACATACGGAGTGGATGCCTGTGCGGTTCTTGTGGTTCTCAAATAACTTCTCCTAGCTGGAATGAGGTTGGCCAGATCCTCAGAACATCTCACATGGTAATAGCGATGGCTTAACGACAAGTTGACCATCTTGCGTATATGCTCAAGAGATCGCAATGAATCGGTGAGAATTGGATTCCATACATGAAGGATTTTTTAGCGAGTAACCGTTTGTAACTGTGTTATCACGAGCTATGACCGTACGGTTATTACCCTCACCACTGGTGTTCTGTCAAAATTACCCCCACCTAATAAAGTTTGTTAATAAACCTCTTTTTCGCAAAAACGAACCGGTTATAGAAAGCGATTATACAAAAGTGAGGTTATAGATACCTATTAGGCAATCCAACGACCTGTCAAAAATGACGCTTCCTATAAAATGAAACAAGTAGGTACACATATTTTGTTTTACCATAAAGAAGTATATTCGCTAGGTCCAAGGGAACACAGACCTTCCCTTCATTGTTTGTTTAAAGTTACTTTAGTTGAAATTTCAATATTTTCTTCCATGTTGGTTCCCAGGATCTCCAAGGAATGGATTGGATATTACACGTTCTACCTTACTGAGCGTTTTTTTTTTTACCTTTTACTTTTTACGTTTAAACTAACAACCAGAAACCCTCGTCCACGTCCCGCAAAAATATTTTCTAATTTCCGGGTTTGACGTTAGAGTAAGGTAAACAAACCCAAACGTCGATTTGAATAAAATCGGACTGTCAAATGTTCTATAACCGCCAGTAACCTCGCTAAAATTTCAATGGTTAGAGATTATCAGTTACCGTTTATAACACGGTTACAAACGGTTAGTAGCTAAAAAATCCTTATGGTCTGATTTGAGCCTTATGAAGGACAAGAAGTTTTTTGGAAGTAAAGAAGTTTCTTGCAGGAAATAAAAAAAAAACACATTTCTAGAAAGCGGTTTTGGCGATCGAAGATACATGGTCATGTCAAGACCAAGACGAAGAGATGCGGAGGGATTCATAGAAATGTTTTGTCCTGACATCTTTAAAACTGGGTTTATCATCGAAGGAAGATTTTCTCTTTGAGAATACTGTTGTTTGAGTTTTGGAAGCATTAAATTTGACTAGCTTGTTAAAGCCCCAGTTGGTATTGGTCTCAATATCATTGTTAATACAGATAGAGTAAATCTATTCTCTCTTGTCAGGAGAGAAAGATGCCATCAAGCGACTACCGTCTGCAAAGCTCTATATGGGGTTTCTTGTCACATTTAACAAATTATCTATAAAAATGATGGGGACAGAACTGAGCCTTGGGGAACGCCAGCATTCATAGGCAGTTTATCAAAAGACACACCATCAACCACAATATGCAGTGACCTGCCTTCCAGAAAGCTCCCCAGCCAATGGCTGAATTCGTTCGGAAGACTACCTATACGATGGAAGTTTGCTGGAGGGACCTTCGTGCTACATCTGAACAATACCCTTGGAGATGTCCAATGCTACAATTCTGGATTCGTCATGTTTTTCGATTGTCGAGTTCCAAATATGAATGACGTACGGCAGCAGATCCCCCGTTGATCTTTCAGACCGAAACCCGTTCTGTTTTTCAGAGATGACCTTATTTTCTTGCAGTTTCATGTTGACTGCCTTTTCCATTACTTTCGAAAGTACGGATATAAGCGAGATGGGACGATAACTGCTAGGAAGACATTTCTTGCCCTTTTTCAGGATGGACTGCACTCTAGCACATTTCTATATAGACGGGAAAATGCCTCGACTCTAAGAAAGTGATAGCGATTTACAGAAAACTGGAGCGTCAATTCTTGTGCGCAATTTTTTAGGACAATTGGTGGAATGCCGTCAGGCCCACAAGATTTTCCAGTTTCAAGTTACAGAAAAATTTTCCTAATGGTTTTAGGTCTAAATACAACGTTGTCCACGTAAGAACCAATGCGTAGCAGTACCTGTGGCGCTCTGCCATTGTCCTCCATCGTGGAATTGAATGCAAATTGTTTGGCAAAGAGATCTGCTTTTTCCTTCAACGATACTCCAATGGAATTATTGTCCATAACTAAAAGTGTAAAGGAAAAAGATTTGCAATTTTTTCCTATGGTCTTGACAAAGGACCAAAAGGATCTTGGTCCGCTCGGGCAGTCCAGAAGTCGATTACGCACGGAGAAGAAGATACTTCCACGACGATGCTGCTGATGTATGACGGTTTTTTCAAGTTCTGTTTTTTCTTGCACTTCAATGCATTTCTGGAGTCAACAAGATTAGATGGGCCAGAATGCTCGCTACCGTGCACTATGGATCAGCAAAACGAAGTTGGTTTTTTCAGTTTCTTTTTTTTCTGGCTCTTACTGCATTTTTGAATTTGACCGACGAAATACGAAATAACCTTCATGCTTGGCCTCATGTAACAAGAACCCAATTGCTTTTACTTAGTAGTTCGCAAATAATTATATTTTGGCTTAGTTCCTCAGCTCACCTAAATGCTCAGAGTAAAAATATAGATATTAAAAAATGTATTATAAAAACCTCTCTCGGAAAATTGATCTTGTTGCGTTGAGGGTGAGCGTGCTCAGTAACGTTCAAGTTTCAAAGGGCGATGCCGGATGACGGAAGCAAAAGGAAAGCTGTTGCCCACAAGCGTAAATGAGCAAATAATCCGTACAGAAACAAGATCAAAAATAGAACAAAGAAAATCTCTCAGAAGTGATCAAAAGACGAACCAGACCCTTTGAAAGAAATGAATACAGACATTGCTCAGGCCATTCAGCGAGACATGAGATATAATAGAGGAAAATGGATGTATGCAGGTAATGAGAAGGAGACTTGCCAAGGGAAAAAATAGATTTTCAAGGTCAAAAACGGAACTGGTAGTGAACATACAATAGTCAAGAAGTACAACGTATTGTTCAAAGATTTTACGGAGCTCTTTGGATTTTGCGGAACATGAGCAATGAAGAATGATTTATCAGGGTCCAGAGGACATTTCTAGCAATACGGCTGAAAAGATGGATTACAAAACTCCAGGTGAAGAAGCACCAACGAGACAATAAAAATAAGCCGCAAAATATTAATCAGAAATATTTCAAAACTTTTCGACCTGTGCATCCACAATTAGAACATCAAAGATGACTGGAACAACTCAATCCTGATCTTTTTACACAAGAAAGAAAATCAAGCAGATCCTGAGAATTAGCATCCTATTAGTTCATTAAGGTACTTGTATATGCTATAAACACGAATTAATGAGATCAGATTGGAAACTAGATTGGACTTTTATCATCCTAGAGAGCAAGCTGGCTTTCGCTCTGGTTCTATTTTTTGAAATCCCTGAGGCCTTCGACAAGGTGGAGAAGGATGGATTACGGATATATAAAGGACGGTATTAGTTAGTAGTTTTTAAGTTTAATATTGGCTGTGATACGTTTAAGATAGTGATTATTGTAAAAGTTGTGAAAAGTTAAGTTGTTTGAGTAATTAGTGTTAGAGTGTGTAGTAACGTGGAATAAATTATTGTTGTGTTAATTGGACTTTGATTTTGGAATAAACGAACCCAAGATTTCTGTCACGCACCCCAGAGCCGTGGGAATAAGGAGGGGATCAAAAATGGCCGAGGGAATAATAAATCAGCAGCTCAAGTGGTTTCACTATGATTATGTATTATATATACAGGGTGTCTCGGAATATGTGAGCAATCTCTCGGATTCAGATAGAATACAAAAAAATAGCATGACAATTTTTTATAAAAAAAATTCCTACGCCCCCCCCCCCCCCCCACCAAGTTACGTGCTCCTAAAGGACGCCTCTGAAAATCTGTTTTTTGTTGATAACTTTCACAATACTTCGTGTATTTTTTTTTTTCAATATGATGGATACTAGATAAGACTCCTTAAAATGGACCTTTCAAACACACTTGGCCAATCTAGTTTGCCCGGGACGGACTAGCTTTAACACAATAATTCTCCTTTTTTTACACCCTGTATGATAAAGGCATAGCAATAATATTTTTAGATAGTTTCAACCTTGAACTAGAAAAAAGGTACTCGTATTCGATGAGCTGGTTTCGAGAAAAAGCTGTTTTTGTTTATTAATGGTTTTTTATTAAATAATTTTGTATATCGACTCAACATCAGCTCCTTCTAATCTTATGAATTCCATACCTATTTTAATGAAAGATTGTTCGACCCTCGACAATGCTTCAATATTAGCTGTTATTTCGCGACAGTGAAAATTAATCCTTTCTACCAATATTTCCTCACTGTCATTATTGGGTTAAAGCTAGTCCGTCCCTGGCAAACTATATTGGTCAAGTGTGTTTAAAAGGGTCCATTTTAAGGGGTCTTATCTAGTATCCATCATATTAAAAGAAAACAAATTAAACGAAGTATTTTGAAAGTTATCAACAAAAAAGCAATTCAGAGGCGTCCTTTAGGGGCACGTAACTTCGAAGGGAGGGGGGTAGGAATATTTTTTTTTATAAGAAGTTTTTATGTTATTTTTTTGTGTTCTATCTGAATCCGAGAGATTGCCCACACATTCTGGGACACCCTGTATAGAACGTATTTTATTCCATTTTTCAATATCCATTGTGTAAGTTTGACCACTTACTCCCGAGAAAGTCGAAATATAGGTATATTTTGAAGTATAGATATTAAAAGAGAGGCGAAGAAAGTGAACTGAAAGATAATAATAATAATAATATTTTAAATTTTATGTTGTGGTCATTGATCATCCATCTTTTGTTCCCTTTTCCACGAATGAATGCCCTTCTAATAGTTTTTGCAATGCCCTGGAGATGATTTAAAATAAACTGAAACTTTGTCATCGAAACAAAAATGTGTTTTCTCCTTTAAACTTCTGCACCCATTAAATTAATACAACTTATTGTTACATTGAATTTTGTATACAAAATTATCAGCTATTATTAATCCCAAAATTGTCTTGACAGACACCTGATCCTTGTCACGTATGTTCCTTGTCTTTCTTTATTGTTGAGTATGAAGTTATACATGCCCCATGCAAGCCGAGATATAACATCGGGTAACCTGATATCTAGCCATCAGGCGTTGTATTGCTAGCATTATAGCTTCCTATCCTGAGAATGACTGAGAGTAGGAGTTGTGTTTTCTTTTCAGATGATTTATGAGACGATGTTAAGTATTTAAAATTAGTACCATTGGAATGTGAATGACCTGAAATTAATACTTTTATTTAAAGAGATTTTAATACCTACTCTTCCCGGAAGTTTTTGCAATGTTAAAATTTATCTGCATTAGGACTAATACATCTCTTCTCAGTCTTTGTTTACGCTAGACATGTCCGTATAGCAGAGAGCTACCGTATAGCATATCTTCGCGAAAAGCCATTCTCAATTTATTCCATTAGATTAACCTTTTGGTCCTTATACGACATTTAATTCATTTACTTCCTTGTCCAGTCGTATTTGACATGCCACACAGTGACTGCTACTAGATCGATCATCAAAGGTTCTCATTGCACGGCTTGGAGAAACTATGAGGTTCGGATAATTGGTCGATATAAAATGTAAAACTTGGTACTTAATTAAAACCAACACATCACCATCATTTGAAAAGGAGTCATTTCTAATGCAAAGAGAAGTCTGGGCCATAAAATAACGTCAACCATAAACCGTACCGTTTTAGGGCATTTCACGCGGAAAATTCGATTTCAAACCTATACTTCCAACTGGCAATAATTGGGGTCTCGAAGTTTCTATATAGGCTACGTGTGCAGAATTCCATATTTTTTTTTTACCTGAGGCACTCTTCTGAAATTTGATTCTCCTGACGAATTGCTGTTATCGGTATTCTCAAAAAAACAACCGCTACACTGAAAAAAAAAAAAACGGACACCGAACGTAGAAAGCTTTCATACCAACTTGATAACATTATTTTTAAGTAGCCAATTGTTTAGGGATTGTCTTGGATTGTAATCTGTCACTGGGATAAAAATCGCTACAAAAAATTTCAGCTTTCTATCTCTAATAGAAAAAAAGTTATGACCTTTCAAAGTTTTCCAAAATCTAAATCATTCTTCTTACTAAAAAGATGAAATTTAATTTTTTTTTTGTTGAGATTTTGTTTCCTAATGTCCTTCGGAAGCACCAAAATACATCGTTTGGGGAACCTCACTTGACTTGCAAATTACTTTGGAGGTGGTTTAAGGGGGTAAAACTAATAATTGCGATTCATCGAAAAAAGGGTTTTTGTGAAAATATGGACATTTCCACCCTAGTCTCGGGCACAAATCGTACAAGATGTTACAGGCAGTACCGATATACACCGTCTAGGGTACCTAAAGAGACTTGCAAATAACTTTGAGGGTGGTTTAAGGGGGTGAAACTAATAATTGCGATGCATCGAAAAAAGGGTTTTCATGAAAAAATACACATTTCCACCCTAGTCTTGGGCACAAACAGTACTGGAATTTAAAGGCAGTACTAAAATACATCGTTGAGGGAACCTCACTTGACTTGCAAAATAACTTTGAGGGTGGTTTAAGGGGATAAAACTAATAATTGCGATTCATCGAAAATAGGATTTTTGTGAAAATATAGACATTTCCACCCTAGTCTCGGGCACAAACAGTACTGGAAATTATAGGCAGTACCAAAATACATCGTTTGGAGAACCTCACTTGACTTGTAAATTACTTGGGAGGTGGTTTAAGAGGATAAAAGTAATAATTGCGATTCATTGAAAAAAGGGTTTTTGTGAAAATATGGACATTTCCACCTTAGTCTCAGGCACAAATAGTACTGGAAATAATAGGCAGTACCATAATACATAGTTTGGGGAACCTCACTCGACTTGCAAATTACTTTGGAGGTGGTTTAAGGGGATATAACTAATAATTGCGATTCATCGAAAAAAGGGCCCTTGTGAAAATATGGACATTTCCACCCTAGTCTCGGGCACAAACAGTACTGGCAACTATAGGTACTACCAAAATACATCGTTTGGGGAAACTCACTTGACTTATTGCAAATTACTTTGAAGGTGGTTTAAGGGGATAAAACTAATAATTGCGCTTCATCGAAAAAAGGATTTTTGTGAAAATATGGACATTTTCACCCTACTCTCGGGCACAAACAGCACTGGAAATTATAGGCAGTACCAAAATACATCGTTTGGGGAACCTCACTTGACTTGCAAATTACTTTGGAGGTGGTTCAAGGGGGTAAAACTAATAATGGCGATTCATCGAAGAAATGGTTTTTGTGAAAATATGGACATTTCCACCCTAGTCTCGGGCACAAACAGTACTGGAAATAATAGGCAGTATCAAAATACATCGTTTGGGGAACCTCACTTGACTTGCAAATTACTTTGGAGATGGTTTAAGGGGGTAAAACTAATAATTGCGATTCATCGAAAAAAGGGTTTT